CTCGTCACTGTCCCTTTTTACACAGCCGTCCAATCACAGTGGAGATAGGGCGGGACAAACATTACATTAACTAACAATGATCATACTTGTACAACACAACAATGGAGAAGTTAATATTGCGGGTTACTGCATTTTTATATTCAGTAATATTCTTCAAAATAACATACTCGTAACATGTTACTACCGTGAATATTCCAAATCATAGCAAACAACGCGTCACTCCAGAAAAATGCAGTGCCTCCAAAGCTCTTTCAAGCACCACCAGCTGGTCGTTTTCAGAAGAGCACCAGGCATTATGTCAGCTGGCTAAAAACGCTCTGGTAGACATGCGTTAATTTATTCATTTATTGTTAGGCATATAGCCTATTAGTCTCTTATGCATTTATGCTATATAACTTACCAAACCTGAGAATTGAGTCCAAGGATTCCACACCATTCCTAGATGCGTAATTTGCGTAGCTGTAATTCATAGGCGGGGAATATGCTAATTGTGAATGAGCGTGCATGTGCGCCCTATTTACGAATGATTGGAATTCATTGATATACGCACATTTAATTATCACATCTGACCTTTACGAAGTATTTGTGAATCCGGAGGAGAGTTTTCGGGAAGGTCCGTTTTACGCGTAAATTACTCAGAATTTACTCATATATTTATGAATGTTTCATGAATGAGGCCCAATGTGTGCATCTGAGTGTTTTGATGCACAGTCATAACCGTTTTTAAAATTCTGTCCCTTATATGCAGCTGATATGGGTTTTGCACGGCTCTTCAACTCACCACTGAAGCCTTTAGCAGATCTGGATCCTGTAGTTGTTACGTTCTGGTACAGAGCACCAGAGCTGCTGCTGGGAGCCAGGCATTACACCAAAGCCATCGGTAAGACGTTTCTTTGAGTGTGTGTGCACAAATGCAAATTTTTAAATGTGCATTTTAGATTTAATGACTTTCTCTTTTCTTCAGATATCTGGGCGATTGGCTGTATCTTTGCTGAGCTTTTGACCTCAGAGCCTATCTTCCACTGTCGACAGGAGGACATTAAGACCAGTAATCCCTACCATCACGATCAGCTGGACCGGATCTTTAATGTCATGGGCTTTCCTGCAGGTATTCATCTTCCACTTGACACTTAAATCTAGATGATTCAGTGAAAACTTTGAGACTATGAGACTTTTGTTAGGAAAACAACTTTTTTGTTGTTTAAATATTTGTAAGGTTCTATGTAGGGCTGCACGATAAATCGAAATGGAATCGATCGCGCAATAAAATCGTCTGCGATTTGTTTTGTTTTTTTTGCGTAACTTGTCAGTGAACTACGGCTATGTGTAGTAAATTCTGCTCCATCTGAAAGCACGTGACGATGATTTCCTGTTGATTACAGAACCGGCTTCTTTAACAAAATGCGCATGACAATCGCATTCGATTAATCGTGCAGCCCTAGTTCTATGTGTGTAAGGATGCAACTTAATAATTCTAGTTCCTCTAGGTCCTGATTCCTCTTGATGAGTTTTTGTACTTTTAAGGAAAACCTATTTTGGGAGAAAATAAATGTAATTACATTTTCAAAGCCAAACAATGTTGTTATTGTTAACTAAAAGTAAAACTGTTAAAAATAATGTTAATTTTTAATAAAATAAAATAATAAATATAATTGAAATAAAATTAAATGGGGAGAAAACTTAAGTGAAAATTTGAAATGTTGGTTAGAAATTAAGTTTAAATGACTAAAGCTAAAACAAAACAAAAAAATTAAGCCAAATAGAAAAAATTTTATAAATAAATAAAAAATATAATGATTGTTATAAAGATGACAAAAGCTCATGACAAAAATATTAAAACTTAAAGAGCAGGTCATATGGTTTTTTAAAGTGTCCTAATATTGTGTTGGAGTCCCCTACAACAGGTTTAAATGCATCTAAGGTCAGAAAACAGTGTAATTTTCCCAGAATAAACATTTATACATAGTCATTTGTCCATGATTTCGAAATGGTTTGTTTGATTCAGTTCTGAGCGAAATGTCTGTAAACCCCTCCCTTCCATAAGCCTACTCTGCTCTGATTGGTCAGCTGGCCAAGCCTGTTGTGATTGGCACAAAGAGGAGCACTTGAGCAAGTTAGCGAGAGCTACCATCTGTGTTGCCAAGTCTGCGGTTGTTTTTGATGTCGCGGGTTGTAGCGACCCCAATAACATCATATTTAGGCATTGGAATGCGAATTTACTGCGTGTATTTTACACCCCAGAACGCGATTTTTAAAGGGGGACCACCCTCGAAACACGATTGGGCTAGTTTTGAGTAGCAATTGGCGGGTTTTGTTGTGTCAACCTGGCAACCCTAGCATGCACCTTTACATAAACAATAATATAGTGCTCCAATCAGTTCTTAAAATAATGACATAAAAACATTTTGTTTAACACTTATGCAAGCGAATCGTGCCCAAAGCTAAAGTTTAGCTGCTAAACTGTAAACACTATAAAAACAATAATGGTGGATACGTTAGCCGAGTGCTAACGTGACTAACTGATGAAACAATACAGTTTGAAAACCAAAATATGTCTACTGTAATATCTGAAGAACGACAGACAAAAGACGCTCCGTGTCTTAACCTTTAATTATAACGCAGAACAGCTTTATCACATGCGTAGCAGCCTCTTGTCTCTCTACCGGGTCTTTTACTCTTTGCATTAACCCTATAACTACATTAACAGCACTTTCACAATGATTATAAAGTCTGTGCACTACACTACATTCTTTATTATTAAACGAAGAACAACGACAGTCTACATTAATCGACACAATCTTAGGAAATAGTGGGTTCACAGCGAATTATCAGAACTACTTCAGTAAAACAGTAATATTGTGCTTTACCTGGAAACCTAAAGCTGCACTAGGTATACTTCACATATTAGCACAAAGAAAACTAGATATTTTGAGCACTCAGTTGAAAATGTACACATAACGTATCAATCGTACTTACAGGTTGTGCTTATGAAGAAGATTACAGGTTAGTCCAAATGAAGAAGATTAGAAGCCAACGAAGATAAAAGGCAAGATTAGAGAAGCAGTCCTCGGTAAAATGACGAGCACAAAAAAAGTTTCGAATTGTATTGCTGTGGTATCGTGGAACACAGCATCTTCTCGACACAGAGAGTGTTAGTATTTCACTGGAAGGCGGGGATTATGCTAATATGTTACCCAGTGACGTAGATCGGTATCAGGCAGAAGATTCGAAAATATGACGACTCGTTAAGGCGATTCTGAGTCGACTCTTTCTTTTGAGAGACAATATCTTTATTTATCATGCACTTTTTTGATTAACAACTTTGCAGACTGTTTACATTGAAGGATAGCTACCTTACAAACTGCAAAAGAGATATTTTTCAAAAACCCATATGACCTGCTCTTTAAACTTAAGCTAAAATTAAAATGAAAACTAAATATAAAATTAAAAGCTAACTAAAAATATATATATAAAAAATAAATATATAAATAATGTTAAAGTAACCCTGTTGTCAAATGAGTAATTGTTGTTTAAATATTTATGTTTGCAGTTACAGTTCAGCTGTTAAGTTAATAGTTCACAATGCTTCAGTTCAGTCAACTGTCCTCCTGATAATCTTTGTAATCTAATTTTCTTCTCAGATAAAGACTGGGAGGACATTAAGAAGATGCCGGAACACTCTACGTTGATGAAAGACTTTAGGAGGAATACGTTAGTTTGATTTCATCTTTGACTGTAAAAATATCATACTAATTAGGCATTTCATTGACTAGGGTTTTTGATCTGATGGTGATTGTCCCTCTTGCTGTAGGTACACTAACTGCAGCCTTATAAAGTATATGGAGAAACATAAAGTCAAACCTGACAGCAAAGCATTCCACTTGGTAAGTGGGCGAATAGAATTGCAAATCTCATATATTCGTTCTCATAAATTCAGCTGTTAACTTATGAACTCCCTTTCAGCTGCAAAAGCTGCTTACTATGGACCCAATCCGCCGAATCACATCTGAGCAGGCCATGCAAGACCCGTACTTCCTGGAGGAGCCTTTACCCACGTCTGAGTGAGTGATTTTAAGCGCAAAATCAGCTTTCTGCATGAATTATTATAATTAGGATTTCTGTATTTTTTTTAGATACAAAAAGATAGGTCAACTGCAGAGCTGTACTTGCATAAGATGTTGTTTAAGAAATATTTTAAAAAGCTGTGTTTTGTTTAGTGTCTTCGCTGGCTGCCAGATTCCTTATCCCAAACGAGAATTCCTGACGGAAGAGGAGCCGGAAGACAAGGCAGATAAAGTAAGAAATGTGTGTTTTCTGCTTTTGAGTATTTCTGTGTATGTGAATATATTTCTGACCATTTAATTTTTTATTTTTTACAATTATTTAAAAAACAAAATTTAGAGGCTTTTCTCAGCGTAATCGGTTAAGAAATTATTTGTGATTCATTTGGTCTGCATCTTATGTAGTTAGATTACATTTTTAATTGAGAGCTGTGATATTTATCATTTTTATGAATTGCAATATTCTTTCTTTTCTACAATTGCAGAAAAACCAGCAGCAGCAGCAGCAGGGGAACAACCACACCAATGGGGCGGGGCACACAGGTAACCCTGACAACAGCCACGCACAAGGCCCGCCTCTGAAGAAGGTGAGAGTGGTTCCACCCACTACTACCTCAAGTGGCCTGATCATGACCTCAGATTACCAGGTAACACATGTAAACATAAACCTTTATCTTTGTTTTTTGTTTTTTTACAAACAGGCTTTAAAATTATCTTTCTATTGCCCATCAGCCACAACAGATGATGATTGTTCAATTTTTCCATTCAGTTACCTAACTATTTTATTTCTTTATAATACACAATACCATTCAAAGGTTTGGGGTCCTAAGATTTTTTTTAATGTTTTTGAATAAAGCCTATTATGCTCAAGGCTGCATTAAAATACAATAAAAAATATTACTACAATTTAAAATAACTTTTCTATTTTGCTGTATTTTAAAGTGTAATTTATTCCTGTGATGGCAAAGCTGAATTTTCGGCAGCCATTATGCCTGTCTTTAGTGTCACATGATCCTTCAGAAATTATTCTAATATGCTGTTCTAATATTGCTGCTTAAGAAACATTTCTTATTGTTATCAATGTTGAAAACTGTTGTGCTGCTTAATATATTTGTGATTTTTGTGCAGCATTTATTTGAAAGAGGAATATTTTGTAACAATGTTTGTTTTACTGTAACTTATTTAACGATTTAGTCAATATAAAAGTATAATTCCTTAAAGCTCAATTGAACTGCGTGTATGCGCGTGTGTGTGTGTGTGAGTGACCAGCTTATTGTACAGGTAAGTTAATCGCCGTTCTAATCGAATGCGCTGCTGCACTGTAACACACACACATTACAGACAGTAGCTCGTACATCACGCATATTCACAGTATGTATGTGTGTATATATATATATATATATGTGTATGTATATATGTATATGTGTATGTATATATGTGTGTATATATATGTGTGTATATATATGTATATATATGTGTGT